GAGCACGAGCAACACATGGCTTCAGCTTGAAATTGATTAATCAATTGTGTTCAAGTTTGAGCTCGTGCTTAATTTTACGAATTGGAGCAGACATCTAGATTAACAAATATAATGAGCAATTAAAAGATAAATAATAAGAAATCACTTGATATATATAAAAAAATTATTAAATTTAAAACATTTTTTATAATTTACAGATGAATTCCAGATTTTTTATAAATTTTGAATGTATTTTATATTAATATTTTTTTTAAATAAGGTAGCTTACAAGCTAATGAGACGAGCCAGGTTGACTTGATATTGGGTGCCACTTATTCAGCCGAGCCACGAGCAGCTCACGGCATTAGTTCAATTCCAGCATGATAACAATTATTCAAGTTGAATTGAGCATGTTTAATTAATATCACAAATTACTTTTTGGTGTATTGATTAAAAAATTATTTTCAAATCAAAATAACATATTTCAAAGGCATGCAGTAATAAATACATCTAGACTTTAAGGGCTTGTTTGTTGTTAGTTTTTAGACTTTAAAACTTGTTTGTTTATGAATTTCTTATACATTTAAAGATAAATCAACTTATTTTTAAAAATACTCAAAACAATAGTTCAATCCTATCCAATACTTTAATAACCATCTTCAATAAAATAGTAATCGGATTAACAAAATCACTTTTGCATTAAGAAACACTCATTTGGCTATTCAACTATTATTTCTATTTTTATTTGTGTATTTGTTTATTTGATTTGCATGGCCAGGAAGTTCACCTTTTAACCTTACTTTTCGGCCAACTCTTTTCCTTAGCCTATATACAATCTCATCAGGGCATAGGACCTCCCTCCAAGTGTCACTAGATGATTTAATTGAACTAAGATAAATTATAACTTGAACCTCACTTAAACTAAAATTTGAGTCAACAATAATTTAATTTAAAATTGAATATGACTAAACATAAATTAAAATTATCTAAATTAAAACAAAACAAAATATAACTAACTTCAACTAAATCCTAAAATTGACCAAAAAAACAGCTTAAACGAAAATACACACTGAAATTATTGTTTTCTCCACATGTCATCGTAGAACTTAAAATTTCATTCTAAAAGTTGCATCATATTTATGATCACATATAAAGACAATGCAAATAGGTTTGACAATTATATGACACATTTTTTTATGTAAAAATTTTTGCTTTGAATTTTCATGCATGAATACTGCTTATATCACAAAAAAAATTTCATTTTCTCCTCATATAAATGCAGTTATCAATTTTTTTTTTGTAAGTTGCATGATATTACAAATGAGAAGTATAAAAAACAGTTTGATGATAATCGGGCACCCTTATATGTTGGGTTTTTATGCATGAAAAATTGTCTTTACATAAATTTTTTTCAGCAAAGAAATGTTTTCAAAAACGGACTGTGTGAGCGTGTATAGATCTTCACAACCTTTCAAATAAACTAGTATGTGCCAAAACCAAACTTCATATGGGGGTCTATTAAGAACATAATAATTTGGACCATAATTTTGATAATAAAAAGAATTATCCTAATAATTCACTCAAAATAGACTCAAATCAAAACTAAACTTCAATCAAAAGAAACATTAGCTAAAAAATACTAATTTAATCAATCAAAAAAGATTAAAAACTTTCATTCAAATCCACCAAAAATTTCTCTCCTAGGGGGTAGGCCCCACATTTTGAATTTAAAAGTATTGAGATAGAACCCACCTTGACCAAAAAATAACTCTCTTCTCATTTTTCTGAGCCAAATGAAAATGAACCAAGTTCAGTTTTTTGTCCATAACCACCCCCAATCACCCATAACTAGGTGAAAGGATAAGTCTTTCTATGAATTTTACAGAGACTAAATAAAAATAAATCTTGATTCACAATGTACCATCAAGATAGCTCATGTTAATGTAAAATATAAGGCAAAAAAATCACATCAAAAGTGTGATTTTCCACTTGATAATCACTTTATTTTAAAAAGTTAGATTATTATTAACTTGTGGATCATATTAAGTAGATAAAAATTAAAGTTAAACTACATTAATAACTAACTTGTTTCTACTAATTTCTTGTAATGATTGAGTGAATAGTATCTTATTCATTTTATCTTACATGAAATAAAATATATACTTGCTTTTATCTTAAATACTTATTAGTACATTAACTTAAAATTCTACCTAGCACTTGAAAAATTAATAATGATAATTATGATATCGTCCCATCATTAATATCACTATTTTGTCTAATTCTAGTTTGTTGATTTTATACATGTAGCTCAAAATAATTAGAGTAAAAATGTGTGATCTTAGCCTGATGAATATAATTTATTTTTTACAATACTTTGATTTTTTTCTAAATATCAATAATAAAGTGATTTAATGCGGTTAAATATATAATATACTGAGAGTACATGTTTTATTATTTTCATTTCAAGTTGATGCATTCATTGATATTAAATTAAACTATTAACACTTGTCTCTAATGACAATATATTGTTCAATCTTCTGTTAGTTAAAAGAAGTGCATGAAAATAGTTATATGTAATTTATAAAGTGTAACAAAAATATTAGTTCAAGGTGCTGCAACAATTTATCATTCAAACATACACAACATATATACTTAAAGAATTAACTCAATTTAATTAAGGGATTTAGTGTTTACTGTGATAAAGTATAGAATTAATTGGTCATTAAACATTATATAAAGATATTAAAATCATGACTTCATTCTAAATAAATTTTCTAAACTCATATTAACATAATCACTTAATTTTGTTGCATAAATCTTACGTCGTCTTGTATAAGTGAGTTTGTTATTTTTTATATCATGTTTATCCTTTGTAATAATTATTCTCCACTCAACCTTGATGGGGATTTAAACTTATTGATTATATTTTTGAAGAATACATCTTTAGTTCTTTAGAATATGTCGCCATTGGGTAAAAATATTACTTAATAATCAAATTAAATGCTTTCTCACCATTTTTTTAGTGTGAATGCTTTTGATAATTTTATATAATATGACCAAGCTAATTTTTCTTGAGTGCTCTACCTTAATTACATTCCATATTCTAATTGATCAGTCACATAAAATACTCTTTTATTTTTTTTTTCAAAATATTATGTGTAACCACATTGTTTTTTCATAAAAGCTTCAAATCACCCATTAATGACTACAATACACACACACACACACACACACACACACACACACACACACCACACACACACACACACAAGGAATTAGTAGAAACAAGTTATTTATTAATATAGTTTAACTTTAATTTTTATCTACTTAATATGATTCACAAATTAATATGAATCTAAACTTCTTAAAATAATGTGATTATCAAATGGAAAATCACACTTTTGATGTGTGGTTTTTTTCCCTTATATTTCACATTAACATGAGCTATCTTGATGACACATTGTGAATGAAGAATTATTTTTATTTATAGTCTCTGTCAAAATCATAGAAAGCTTTATCCTTTCACCTAGTTATGGGTGATTGGAGGTGGCTATGGATGAAAAATTGAACTTGGTTCATTTTCATTTGGCTCACAAAAATGAGAAGAAAGTTATTTTTTGGTCAAGGTGAGTCCTATCTCCATATTTTTAAATTCAAAATGTGAGGCCTACCCTAAGAGAGAAAATTTTTGTGGATTTGAATGAAAGTTTTTAATCTTTTTGATTGATTAAATTAGTAATTGTTAGCTGATATTTACTTTGATTGAGGTTTAGTTTTGATTTTAGTCTATTTTGAGTGAATTATTAGGATAATTCTTTTTATTATCAAAATTATTGTCCAAATTATTCTGTTCTTAACAAACTCCCATATGAAGTTTGATTTCAGCACATACTAGTTTATTTGAAAGGTTGTGAAGATCTATACACACTCAAGCAGTCCGTTTGATATTTACTTCCATCATTTATATCTTTAGAATCTCCTATCCCTCTTATTAAGCCAGCATGTGCCATTAAATTGTTGGCCTTGAATCACTGAAATTTGGTATAACTTGCTTTATTTGTATATCAATACTATACTATAGCCTTGTTGAGTATGATCTTTAAACTAAAGGACTATTTGTAAATTATTTTATTTTTTTTGTATTTTAAAGTTTTTTTTATTACTGTTTTAATCTAAAATCAAGTATAATTGGGATGTTTGATTAATGTGTGTGTGTGTGTGTCTATATATATATATATTTAAAATCTTTAAATGACCAAAAAAATATTTTAAGTGGTTTAGGAAAATATGAAGTTATTTATTTTTTAAATGAAACTTGTAAAAAATACATTATGCATACACATTTTTAAAAAAAATTGAAAAAAAAAAAAATTTGATTCCAGCACTAAATATTTATTAGTTATCAACATGAAATTCAATCTACAATTACTAGCATTGTTCCATTGTTTTACTATTAATATTTCTACCTACTTAATTGCCCCTATGCACTTCTTTAAATTAATTAAATATTTTGGAATATATTTCTTTCATAAAAGAAGGTGCGGCTTGACTGAAGCTGGTGTAAGATTGATCTTAGGGTTTAGGGAAGCAAACAAGTTTATTAAATCTGGAGCTCAATTGTTTTAATAAAATTATCATTCGATAGCTTTCTCCAAAAGCCATCTCTCAACTTAGGATGAGTTTAAAATTATATTTCATACTGCACAAAATAAATTTTTTTTTATAATTTAATAAATGCAACATCAAATATTTAAAATACTAAAATCTACATCTTAGACATCGACGTTTTAGCTAGAGCTATTTACGTACGTCATACGCACATAAATTGTATGTGTATGACCCCAAATAACTTTCTAATAACTTAGTTATCGGGGTTATTAAAATATTATTGGGGGATATTAACACCTCAATGACCTCTAAATATGCTATCCATACATTTCACGGTTATGGCCATCTTTTTTTCGTGAGGTTATTTATGGTATTAACCTTATAACAGTGACAAATACTTTTCCCTGGTTTGAGCTCGCATCCAAACCTAGTAGACTTGCGATATTCTGCCCGGCTGGTTTTCCACTGCACCTAGTTGCTTCCCGCCCATGGCGAAGGGAGACAAAGTGAAGAGGGTTTTGGCTTTCACGGGGGCGGCAGCGTTTATTGCTATCGCCGTGAATCTCCTGGTTTCTGTTATCAATGCTCATAAAGACAAGTGGAGGAAGAAGAAGCGAGGTTTGTCTTCTTCTCGTTTTCACTTTTTTTGATTGTCTATTCCCTTTTCCCTTCTCCGCATTGGCGCTGGATGCGCAGATGGCTTGTTGAAACCGTGCAAGTTTTCTAAATGCCAATGGATTTGGCACGGGTTTGGCAATCCAACAGTACATGTGTAAACCTTACACCTCTGATGTTCTGGAGGCTAGATAGCTTGGTCTATTTTTAGTACTGTTTGGTATCATGGTGGTCTTATGCTTTGTTAATTTTTTGAGACTCCATAACTTTGATTAGTATTTCCTTATAAGTATGTGAGAATTGTAGGCATTTGCTTCCTTGGGATGCGTTTATGGTTGTAAAGAATTTTATGGCATCCCTTATTTGACAATCCTTCCGCATAATTACTTCATCCAGACACGCTCAATGCATGGCACCCTGGGTTTCCCAACCTTACTCCACTCAGAATCGTTTAAAGTTCCACCAATCCAATAAAGCTGTATATGACATTTTCCATTTCTAGTATTAGTAATGATTATTAGTATTGCTGATTCTTAGGCTGCCTTATGTTTGTCTTTTCGAGTGTGGTTATAAGCTTGTTGATTGTGCACAAACATTGTTCAACGCTGATGGTTTTTAGGTATGTATTTTTTCTTGTGTATAATCTCTTGAAATACAAGTACCTCCTGCTGTGGTGGTCGTATATTTCTTGGTGATCAAGCCACATCCTCTAACATATGACATGTGAGCATGCACTTAAACATGCCAAACATGCATATATATATGCACACATATGGTAAGAAAACACAAATGTACATTCTTTTAATGAAAAGGATTGGTTAGGTCACTGCTCAACATGTTCAAGACAATTGGAGGAAGAAGAAGCGAGGTTTGTCTTCCTCTCGTTTTCACTTTTTTTGACTGCCTATTCCCTTTTCCCTTCACTGCATTGGCGCTGGATGCGCAAATGGCTTGTTGAAACCGTGCAAGTTTTCTAAAAGCCAATGGACTTGGCACGGGTTTGGCAATCCAACAGTACATGTGTAAACCTTACACCTCTGATGTTCTGGAGACTAGATAACTTGGTCTATTTTTAGTACTGTTTGGTATCATGGTGGTCTTATGCTTTGTTAATTTTTTGAGACTCCATAACTTTGATTAGTATTTCCTTATAAGTATGTGAGAAGAAACCGTCATTTGTAGGCATTTGCTTCCTTGGGATGCGTTTATGGTTGTAAAGAATTATATGACATCCCTTATTTGACAATCCTTCCGCATAATTACTCCCTCCAGCCTGGGTTTCCTAATCTTACTCCACTCAGAATCGTTTAAAGTTCCACCAATCCAATAAAGCTGTATGTGACATTTTTTTTCTAGTATTAGTAATGATTATTAGTATTGCTGATTCTTAGGCTGCCCTATGTTTGTCTTTTCGAATGTGGTTATAAGCTTGTTGATTGTGCACAAACATTGTTCAACGCTGATGGTTTTTAGGTATGTATTTTTTCTTGTGTATAATCTCTTGAAATACAAGTACCTCCTGCTGTGGTCGTATATTTCTTGGTGATCAAGCCACATCCTCTAACATATGACATGTGAGCATGCACTTAAACATGCCAAACATGCATACATATATGCACACATATGGTAAGAAAACACAAATGTACATTCTTTAAATGAAAAGGATTGGTTAGGTCACTGCTCAACATGTTCAAGACAAGTGGAGGAAGAAGAAGTGAGGTTTGTCTTCTTCTCGTTTTCACTTTTTTTGACTGTCTATTCCCTCTTCCCTTCACCGCATTGGCGCTGGATGCGCAGATGGCTTTTTGGAACCGTGCAAGTTTTCTAAATGCCAATGGACTTGGCACGGGTTTGGCAATCCAACAGTACATGTGTAAACCTTACACCTCTGATGTTCTGGAGACAAGATAACTTGGTCTATTTTTAGTACTGTTTGGTATCATGGTGGTCTTATGCTTTGTTAATTTTTTGAGACTTCATAACTTTGATTAGTATTTCCTTACAAGTATGTGAGAAGAAACCGTCATTTGTAGGCATTTGCTTCCTTGGGATGCGTTTATGGTTGTAAAGAATTATATGACATCCCTTATTTGACAATCCTTCCGCATGATTACTTCCTCCAGACACGCTCAATACATGGCACCTGGGTTTCCCAACCTTACTCCACTCAGAATCGTTTAAAGTTTCACCAATCCAATAAAGCTGTATATGACGTTTTTTTTTCTAGTATTAGTAATGATTATTAGTATTGCTGATTATTAGGCTGCCTTATGTTTGTCTTTTCGAATGTGGTTATAAGCTTGTTGATGGTGCACAAACATTGTTCAACGCTGATGGTTTTTAGGTATGTATTTCTTCTTGTGTATAATCTCTTAAAATACAAGTACCTCCTGCTGTGGTCGTATATTTCTTGGTGATCAAGCCACATCCTCTAACATATGACATGTGAGCATGCACTTAAACATGCCAAACATGCATACATATATGCACACATATGGTAAGAAAACACAAATGTACATTCTTTTAATGAAAAGGATTTGTTAGGTCACTGCTCAACATGTTCATCATTTAGACTACAATCATATTCCGTTGCCTAAATATGCTTATAAGTTTTAATGATACTTTAATTAGCTTTATTTTTTGTTGTAAGCACTTTAATTTCATCCCCTTTTTTTTTAGTGCTAGAATATTTTATTTTTTGAGTTTTGATTGTATTATCGAAAAATATTCACTTGCACTATTATATTCGTTGTCTATTTTTGTGATCACATTTCACAAAAAGCATTTTATGTGCTACAATTGTTTCTGGATTCGATAGTCACTAATATTTTCATGGCAATTTTTTTAAATATAAATTTTCATTATTCTTATTATTCCGTACTTTTTTAAGAGATTTAAGAGGTGTTAAAGAAATCCTTTCTAAATCCTATGATTTAACCTCTCTATAACTTTGTAGCTTGATTCCACTTCAAAGAATTAGAGAGCATAAGTTAAGCGCCAAGTTAAGCCTTCTGCTATGAATATTAACTATAGATTAGGGAGCTTTCTCCGACAATTGACACCATGTTAGACATTATAATCTTTAGAGCTGAATTAACAAACCATGAAGTGCTTGATTTTTGGGGTTACCTTAGTTCACTATTTGAGGGATCATTTTATCAAGTAGACTAATTGGCCCAATGGCATGGAGCATTATCAAGTGTAGGTTTGATGTAATGGGAATGACTTTCCACACTTATAACTGTAGAGCATGACTTATTTGATTAATGCTTGAGCGTTAGTTACATAGATTTTTTTTTTTTTGATGCGGTGACAAGAAGCCTTTGCTTTTGTAAGTTGGAGCTTAAATCATGCTAAATAATCACAGCTTCCTCTCGCCATCAAGCGTCACTTTTATTACTTCGGCCTTAGTCATTTGGTTCAACATCTTTTCCCTCTTTATGCTAATCACCACCACCTACCTTCCTAGTTTTGATGCCACCCTATGGTTTATTTGAAGCCGACCCATTTCACCAAGTTTTTTTTTTCTTGCAACTTTGGTCTTTTCCTCCCTGCTACCGTGCATCGCCCTTTATATATGCTTCTCATGATTAGTTTTAGAGTTGCATGGATTGAGGGACTTGTCTTACAATTTGCTTAATGCATTCGCCTTAAGATTTGCATTAGATTATCTTGCCATAACAACCCCTTTATGATAAAGGACACCCAAAACATAATAATATGTGGTAATACTTGATTTTTTTCAATTCATTTTGCTATCTACCCTAACCCTAAGCAATGTGATTGTGGTTTTTAGCTTTTGTATCATGCAATTTAATTTGAAAATTTTCATTTAAATACAGTAAAAAAAGAATAATTGTCTACCTTTGTGTGTATTGTGGAGGAGAATGGTTATTGCTCATGCTGGTTAAGAAAAATAGTTATATCATATGTGTATGTGTTTGAAGGAGTGCCTTGGCATTCAATCCTTGTGCGATGATGCATTCATAGCACTTATAAATTTAACATTTGCATTGCGGTTGGTTAGTTATTAAAAACTTTGACATAGACGGTTGATTTGGAAATATTTTTTCCCCTTGTTGTATATGTTTAAACCGCCAAATCAATTTTTAGGCTCCTTATTTTTAATAAATATCACCCAAAACTTTTTTTTATTATAATCATTTTTGATTTCTTCATCTTTATATTCTTTTTTTGTCACTCAGCCTGGATATCAATGAATCTCTTATAATCCAACATTTAAATGGATGCAAAATTGCAAACCTATTTGTGCTTTTATAAAATTTACCCTCAAGTATTTATAACACTCTTTATCACGTAAACTTCTTGATGCATTTTTCCTTGTTAAGTGTCCAACCTTAATTATATAATTTCTAGTGCTGTACAGTTCTTGTGTGACAATTTATATCACCTACAATGCATTATTAGCATTATGTTTATTTTTGGTCACTTTATTTTCAGTATGTCACTCTTAAATTTTCTCTAATATAATTTTTCGTTAATTTATCCTTCCTAATTTTTTTTACAAATTTTGCTTTTCTTTTTTTCTGTAACACTTAACTTGGATATCAATGACACTATCATAACTATATATGTGAATCAATATAATCTTAGAGGAGTCTCAAAATGGTCTCTTGACTTTTTGTTTGTGGTCATTTTAGTCTTAAAGTCTATAAAAGTGTCAATTTTGTCTCCAAACTCTTTTAAAGGGGGCTAAAATAATTCTCCTTGGGGCTATTTCAATCTATACCAAAATAATTTGGGAATTAATTTGACACTTCTATAAAACTCTGGGGTTAAAATGACCTCATGTATATAGTAAAGGGACTATTTTGACACTTTACTCTATACAAAATTATCGGCTTAATTGTAATTTTGTAAAGTTTACCTTTAAGGCTTTATGATATGCTTATCGCACGACACTTGATGCTCTTTCCTTTTTGATCATTATCATCATTTATCTCTCTATTATTTTTTATAATAATTCCAAGTTATTTAAATTA